GCCAGTTATATCTCTGCTCATTCAACAGTGTTAGAATTGCCATCAGAGCATTGACTGCTGCAATTAATGCCAATCTACATTGGAGAGAAAAATCCCCTCTTTATTATGACCACTTGTCTATACTGGCCAAATTTAAAAATTTTCCTCTTCAGGCTGCATTAGACCCATTTCACTGTCTATGCAGGGGAGAGGTTCCAAGATGGCACCAAGCAGGTACACACTAACTGTGGCTCTGTTATTGTTCACGGAAATTATCCACAGCAACCGTACAAGTGATCTACTGTGCACACCCCAACCGTAATGTATATCATCGCTCTTCTTGTGGTCAGTGAACTGTGACTTGAATCTGTTTTTCTCCATGAAAGAAGGAAAAATCAACCAGAAGGTCTATGTGAATCCCTTTTTTCAAGTGATGTGTATACTAAGTGAACACACCAGCTGTCACCTTGAGGGTCACCTGTTCCTTATCATCTGCACTGTCCTCATCATTAGTGGAGTGGAACTCAACCCCCATCCAAATTATACAAATATAGAACAATCCCACTTAATGGACATTTTCTCCCTGACACCTAACCAAGGTGAGAGAAGGGCCAAGATAATCAACGGAGAGGATACACCAACCCCACCCAGTGTCACCTTGGAGACATTGCCAACATGATTCGAGGTATGGACAGGAAAATTGAAGCATTAGATTAGAATCTGAGAGAATCCATCAAATCTGTAACCCAAGATTTTACTGAACTCGGGAATGAACAAGCTAATCTTACAGAGGAAAATCAAGAACTGAGAACTAAGTTAAACCAACAAGAAAAAATGAATGTTCGCCTTGATAGCCAATTCTGAAGCCAGAACTTGATTTTCAGTGGAGTCATAGAAAACAAAGGAGAAGAATCCCATGAAGTGTATGAAGACAAAATAAGAAAAATCATAAAGGAAAATCTGCAAGTTAACACACAGACCAACTTCCAACAGATTTTCCGGCAAAAGCTTCCCTACTGAGTGCACTTCAATCCCATGACAAGCAACATTTTTGGAAGAAATGAAAAATATGGTCTGGCTCGAAACCCCCCATCCAAACCGTGAAATGGCAGAAATTCTTCTCAAGCCTGTATGGAGATCACTGGGAACTGCACCCTTCCAAATAAATATTTTCCACTGGGATGAAACTAAGAACAATGCACAGTCTGAAAATGAAGTGAAATGAGCTATGCGACATCTAAAGGTAAGATCTGCACCAGGGACTGAAGGTTTCAATGGAGGTTTCTTCAGAGAAGCCATTGATAACCCTGCAGTACTTCATATCATCATAAGCATATTCAACAAAATCTACCTACTACAGTCATAACCCCTTGCCTAGAGAACTGGCCTCATTTACCCATGCACAGGAGAGGAGACAAAATGGACCCTGAGAATTACAGAGCCATCACTCCTGCTGCTGCTAAGCAAGGGTTTCACAAATCTAGAAAAGCAAATGGCAGAATGGGCTTGGCAAAGAGAACTCATCCCAGAGGAACAAGGTTTCTGCTGCCATTATTGCACCATGGACAATATTTTTACGCTCCTTGCACGATACCTGAACTGGCAAAAAGGCTGTTTCTTCACCTATTTGGGGACCTGGAAAAAGCGTCTGACAAGGTGGACTGTGAACTGTTATGGAGTAAATTGAGTAAACTTAAGCTGAGCACAAAGATGTGCATGCTACAGAGTATCTACTAGGAAGTGAGAGCCTCAGTGGAAACCGATGACAGCAACTGCTTCAAGTGCTTAAGTGGTGTCCATCAGGGTTGTGTTTTGTCCCCTCTGCTGTTCCATCTGTTTCTTCAAGATCTCCCTGCCTTGAGAGAAAATGCCCCTGAACTTACCATGCTAAATAACTTTCCAATGTTGTGTCTTATGTATGCAGATGACTTAGTAATTTTCAGCGACACTCCCCTCTGCCTTCAAAAGCTAGTAGACCTTTTGAAAGAATACCTAGATAATTGGAACTTAATGCAAATTTGCAAAAGTCTGAAATCATAGTTTTCCAATGGGGTGGTCATCTTACCCAGCATGAGAAGTGGTTTTTCGATGGTAACTGAATTCAGGTCATTCCATACCATAAATATCTCAGCATGATCTTTAGCTCTCATGGCTCGTGGAGAATTGCCCAAAAAATGCTTGCCCTGACAAGCTAGGAAAGCCCTGGGTATAATTAAACCAGCCCTAATCAAATACCCTCCTCTCTCTTCAAATGTGTTGTTGAAAGTATTTGACACCAAATTCCTCCCTGTGGCAAACTATGGGCCCAAATTTTGGTGCTTTGAAAACAGACAAGAAAGTGAAATATTACATAACAAATTCTGTAAATGGATACTGAGAGTGCATAACACTATGCCTAACAGCATTGCACATGGAGAACTAGGTCAGTGCAACTTATTTTGCAAACAATATATACGGACACTCAAGTACTGGTTGTGTTTAACTCCATGCCACACACCCGACTTGCAAAAAAGGTGTACATATGGCAACTAGGGTGGTTTGAACGAGACATCACTTGCTGGACTGGAAACATACAGAGATTATTGTGCTCATATGGCTTTGGTGCCCAGGCAGTTACCAGAATTTTTTAAATCACTCTAAACAAAGAAAAATATTTGGATATATTGTCACCCAACCATACCTTTGTCCTTTTCGCAGAGGGATGTTTGAACTGAGAGAACAAGGTAAGCATGAAGATATAGATTACCATGACAGGCTGTGCACACTGTGCAACCATGGAGAGATAGAAGACAAATTTTGCTTCCTGCTGGTTTGCCCTGTATACTTGTCATACAGAAACTCTCTAATACTGTGGTATTACCGCAATCATCCCAACAAACATAAATTTTCAATTTTAATGCTATCATTGCATATTAATACAATCAAATATATGGTGAAATTCCTTAAACTGGCCTGCTATCTCAGAACAGAAACAATGGGACCCTAAAAATTCTTAAAGAAAAGTAAAATATTTGTGTAAATATTTGTCTATGACAGGGGTGTCAAACTCAAATCGGTCGGTGGGCCGTATTCCTTACCCTGCAGATGCCTGCGGGCTGCACCCATAAAATTTCCCTGAAATTTGTGCTGACACTCAATCCATGTGGAAAATTTCAAAAGCAGACGGCGGGCCAGGTGAACCACCTCTGCGGGCCGGATCTGGCCCGTGGGCCGTATGTTTGACACCCCAGGTCTATGACATTGAACACAATAAACTCATTTTATTGTATTGTATTATATACAGGGGGATACAGAATGAACTGGAGAGGTTTGGAATGTTATAACTTTATTTGCAGTGATGATATAGACAATTCATACATCAAATTAAGAAGCACTTCTTCTTTTAAGCCTGGAATGTGAACTTTTGTGGAGTGCCTCAGCACATGTTAGAAGTTTTCCATGGTCATTCACCCATATGGATGGGCCAGCTCAAAAGATCCTTTGGGGTCATTGCAAAGCATATACTTTGAGCTTTTTCTTGGGGAAAAAACTGGAGGAAGGCTTTTACAGGGTGGGCCAAACAAATATTCAATTATCCTTTATATCACTCCACAGCACTGGTCTCCAAGAGTTTGCTAAAATTGCAGTAGCACCTCCTTATATTAAAAAATTCTTTCAGTTTTCCAATAATGTCAACAGAATAAAGACTTATGGCATAACTTCAATACAGTTAGATAAATAGTATAAGGAGTGGCACTGGAAATGTGAACAATGCCTTGGCAGATTGTGAATGTGCAAGGGAAAGAATGGATGTCACCAGGGCCACATTTTCCAGGGTACTGGTTCATGCACTTTTCAAGCGCTACCTCTGTTTCTCTGTGCATAACTGCATCAGAATGACTGAATGGATCTTAAAAACGTTTGACAGCATTGGAAAGCTTGATAAATGTTCTACATAAAGATGCTGTTGCAATATTTTCAAACTCTCAAGAAACTATGCTATGAACCATTGAAGATAACCAAAGATTTCTTGGCCCACCCTGTACATCAGCATAAACTATCTAAAACAACCTGTTCAACTTCACTCCATTTTTTTAAATCATATATGGGATGCCAGGAACTGTGAAAGTAGAGAGCTCATCCAAATTGCAAATTAGGTGAGTTTGGAGCCCATGCAACTGTAAAAGAAAAGAGAATGTTGCAGCATTGTTCTTGATGGGGCACCATAGACTACAGATCACCCATAGTCCATGGTACCCCACTCTGATTTTTAAAATTATATTTCCATGCATTGCAAGAAAGCAAAAGATCATAATGGACTGCAAACCATGTCAAAAGCTTGCCCAATAACAGGGTTGCTACAAAGTCTAGTCACCAAAAATAGTATTTCTTTAAGTCTTTAAGTAGACAAACAAAAGCATGAACTGACTGAAATAAACTTGCACTGGCATGAGGAGGCATGCATCATGTGAATTTCATAGCAGCATCTTTGATTTTTGAGGTGCTTCATGGGGTGGTCTATCGTGCCTTGCAGTCCATGGTGCCCTACTGTTTTCTTTGGGAGAAATACAGCTTCATAAATGCAAAATAAAAAAATATGCATTGACTCTGCAACTGACATTGGATGGTTACAAGGTGTTGAGATGCAAGGCAGTTTTTTTTTCAGCACCCCTGCCATAGAAAGTTGTATGACACCTTTTAACCCATTCACTGCTTACATGACATGTAAACACATCCTGCCCCAACTCTTGCTGTGTGCTAGCCTGATGTGTTAATGCATCACAATTTTATAAACTTCTCATGGAATTGCATTTGCATTGTAATTTGCACAAGTTAATTCAAAATTTTCATATGACAGGCTGCTTTTCAAATTTCCCAGAGCACACAGCATTTAATGTGCTAACTTCTAGGGAGCAGTGAATGCATTAAAGATGTGTGATGTTAATGTTTGAATGCTAGAACAGTTTTAGTATATTTCCTACTGATATTCTTATAGTTTGACTGGATTGTGATGTGCTGTGTCAATCTTGCTGCATGAACAGGCCAGAAAGTGATGTGAGAGCAATTGTGGTGACGGATGGAGAAAGAATCTTGGGTCTTGGAGACTTGGGTGCCTATGGCATGGGAATCCCTGTTGGAAAATTGGCCCTTTACACTGCTCTTGGTGGCATCAAACCTCACCAATGTCTCCCCGTTGTTTTGGATGTTGGCACCAACAACCAGGTGGAGTCATTGACAGAATTTAAAGCTTAGTGATTGGCAGGATCTGTTTTTATTCACACTGTCAGAAGTTAAGTCAACCTGTTCTGCCAGTTGGCTGCTTGCCTAGTGGGTTTCTTTGCAAAATGGCAAGAACCTCTTTCTCAATGGTGCTTTTTGGCTGTATTGAAGGGGTCCTGCCCATTTGCTCAAGAATTACTACCATCGGTAAAAGAATATTTATTTTTAAAAGTAAAGGAGGCTTTTGACCAAGGAAGCAGATGAGTGAGGCAACCAAATTTAAAAGCATGAATATGAGGCTTATTTCTTAGTAGATGTTGATCATGGTTGCATTTATAAAATTGAAGCTGGTCTGTCTGTCTAGACCTTATTGGATGACCCAGTCTACATTGGGTTGAGACAAAAGCGAGCTACAGGAGAAATGTATGATGCATTCATAGATGAATTCATGGAGGCTGTTGTCTCACGATATGGACAAAATACCCTCATCCAGGTCTCTATCTGATTTTCCTCTTTGTTGGATGATGAGTAATATATTTACATTTGGGATTGTGGTGTCTTTGCTTCCAGTTTGAAGATTTTGCAAACCACAATGCATTTCGTTTTCTGGCAAAGTATCGGGAGAAATTCTGCACATTCAATGATGACATTCAGGGAACAGCCAGTGTGGCAGTGGCTGGTATCCTAGCCTCTCTTCGCATCACCAACATCCCTCTCTCCAAGAACAAGTTTCTATTCCAGGGAGCTGGAGAAGTAAAAAAAAATTATGGTTTGCTTATTTCACAGTTGAACTTTGTTGTAACAGCCTGAGTTTTAATGATACTTCAATTTTAGCAATTTATAATACCTGGTCCTCATCTAAAGCCCTTAAGATTTGTACATTTGTGCCTTACTAATGGCAAGCTTGGTTGTTGCTGGTATGATTCTTACTTTCTCATCTTACTTCTCAATTACTGGAACTTCTATCATTGGGGGTTGAACAGAAAGTGAACCTCGATTTTTTTATAGGAAAAGGGCCTAGTAAACCTGATGCCAAAGGAAGTAGACAGTGTAAGTCATTAATATTCAACATCTAGTAAATAATAATGGCAACCTCATTTTTAACTCGCCTTGGTCACGATGAAAACTCAATTGGTCTTAATGAACACTCACCCTGGTCCCTTCAATGATGTTATAACGAAGTTCAACTGTATTTGTAATCTTGGGATATTGATGACAAAGAAAAATGCTCTGCTTGCCCCCAGGCCTCAATAGGGATTGCAAATCTAATTGTGGCTGCAATGGAGGAAGAAGGGCTGAGTCAAGAGGAAGCAAGGTCACATATATGGCTGGTAGACTCGAAAGGATTAATTGTGAAGAATCGAACAGAGGGTGGTGTTGCAGGGCACAAGATCCCTTATGCCAAAGATCACCCTCCTGTGAAGAGTCTTGAGGATGCTGTGAACACTGTGAAACCCACCTGCCTCATCGGTCTGTCATGTATCCTCTCCATTATAGCCATTGCTTGCACCTGTGTCTTCAGCATTGACTCAACTACACCTTTGCATTTATCAATACATAGGTGCAGCTGCAATTGGAGGCGTGTTTACACCATCTCTGCTGAAAAGTATGGCTTCATTCAATGAGAAGCCCATTATATTTGCTCTAAGCAACCCCACCTCGAAAGCAGAATGCACTGCAGAAGATGCCTACATTAATACAGATGTATGTAATCTTACAACTTAAGCTCTGTCACAATCTATAACCTTGTAAACAATTTCTTGGAATCATCTGCCTCATGGATGACATTCAGGGACGGTGTGTGTTTGCAAGCGGAAGTCCATTTGATCCTGTCACATACAAGGGCCAGACATTCTACTCGGGTCAAGGAAACAATTCTTACATCTTCCCTGGAGTTGCCCTTGGGGTGATATGCTCTGGACTTCATCATATCAGTGATAACATCTTTCTTATGGCTGCTCAGGTCTTCCCTTAAGTTCCCTCCTCCTACCAATTGCTTGATTGAGTTGAAGACATGATGATATTATGATTCACCTTCTGCAGAAACTAGCATCTCTAGTCACAGAAGATGATCTCAGAATTGGCAGAGTATATCCCTCATTGAAGACAATTCAGAATGTGTCCCTCAAGATTGCTGCATACATCACTGAGCATGCCTATGCCAAAAGTATGTTTTCACTTCCCTTATCTGCTTTACATTCCTCATCAATACAAAGATGATGAGTATGATCAATGATTCCCTCTGTTTTATGCAGGGTTGGCATCCACATATCCAGAACCAGTGAACAAGGAGGCATTCATCCGCTCTCAGCTCTATGATACTCATTACTTGCATGCCCTTCAACAGACATATAAATGGCCCAACTTAGAGCGCTGAATCCTACTGGTTCTTTTTGCTTTTTTTTTTTTTTTAGCCTAAAGAGTGTCTTCACTCTCAGTCTCTATCTTCTTCTGTGTCTTTTATCCCTCTTGTCTTGCACTCCGTCCTTGTCCACATGCTTGTTCTTGTTCTTGTTCTTCCTCTTGCTCTTGCCTCTGGGGAGATATTTTCTTACCCTTCCTCAGAATCAACATTTCAACCTCAAGGATCTGCCCAAGAATTATGAGGATGGCATTTTCACTTCCTCAGCTGTCCCAATAAGGTCATTTGTCTTTGAATGTCTTTGTCATTTAGTTGTGGATGCATCATTTCAGTCTCATTCAGTGGATTTAGATGCATCATTTCAGTCTCGTTTTTTGCAGGGGGGCTTGCTTTATCTTGTATACGAAGATCTTCTTCTTTCATCCTTGAGAAAGTGAGGTCTTAATTCTTTTAAGTATTCACACACATCATTTTCTGTTTGACCATTTTGTGGTAAGTTTAGTTATTGGGGCTAATTTCAGATTTTATGGAGTATGCAAAAGGAGCTCATGCTGGATTTATTGGGAGTTCATTTTGGCATTAAGAGAATTGCCAATGCTAGTGAAGTTGGATTTGGTGGGAATTTTTTTTGCATCTGTCTCCCAATATAATGACTTCTTGAAATTTGAGATGTGTAATTCTAAGAATTTGACATTTTAGGGGCACTTTTCCTAAACCTTATGAACCTCCTCCTCTGAATGAATATGAAAGCATAGGCATATTGCAGACAGAAGACTGCAAAGCTGACTATTGGCATCTGGGAATAGGATTCAGGATACAAAAAGGGGAACTACTGTATAACTGCTGAAATTCTGATGTGCTGAGTATGCTAGTAGGCAGCTAATTTTGTAAGTCCTGAGCCCCTTAGACACACTCCTCCATTAATGTTAATTATTTCAAATTGACTTGGTCCTAAATATATTTTTTATTCTTTAAATATTTTTTTTTATACTGGCTGTAATTGTTATTAGTTGTCTAAAAGATAAAATTCTCTATGTATAGTAATTTATATGGTTGTATCTGTCTGAGAAAGAAAGTGTGAGAATGAGACAAGTGGTGAAGGAAGGGGGAGCTAAAGAAAAAACCAAATGAGATTTCTTGTATTCCCGGTGCAATATGCTTCTCAAATCTACCTGAAGGGAGGTCTTTCAGTTGAATATCGCTGCAATTATTGACTGTACCGGTAGTTTTGAATCCCTGTGAAATCTGAGTGATTGCAACAGAATTAAGCTTAATGATGGACCATCCTTCCCTTTCAATTGAACAACCCTAGTCATGCATTTGATTTTTCCTTTTTGTCTCCAGTTAGCCAATGTTTTGTCACATATTGTCTTGCCATGGTGAAAACGCTCACTTCTCTTTCCATCCTGTGTCTGTGTGGGTTCTCCCTTGCTTTCTTCTCTCTTGTTGCCTTCTGTATTGTTTAAAACTATGCATGCAGAGAAATCACCATTATGAACCAAACTGCACTTTGTGATGTCAGCATGTGTCCAGTTCAGTCTCTTGCTTCTAAATAAATGAACTTTTCTTGTTTATTGCACTGAGAAAGGCTCCTTCTCTGGGTCAAAATAAAATCTTATTTGCTAGCTGGAAACCTTTGAATGTTTCAAAATGGATTTAAGCTTTGTTGAATGAATCCATGAAAATTTACACTCAGCCGGTTTTCATTTGAAGGATGCAATGGTATAATATCACAGAGACGGACTTAGAAAACAAGAGAAAATAAAGACATGGTCAATATGGGGAATGTAAACTTTGGTGAAGCATTTTCTCCTCATGGCATTGAATTCTACATGCCTTGGAGGTGACATGAAATTCGAATGCAATAAGTAGAGAATTCGTTGCCTGATCTCAGGATGATCGTCAGTCGCTCTCTTCATCGTCGTCTCCACGAAGTCCCAGCCCCGTGAGTGGTTTTCGACATTCGTCTTCGGATGCGTATAGGATGTCCTCGTCCGAGTCGTTGACCATCGAGAAGGACGGGTTGTCCTTCATCACCCGCATGTCTGCCAAATGCCATTTGTTGTCAACATCATTATGCGTTTAGTGACAATTTCAAAGAGAGGAAGGAAATTACCAAAGATGGGTCGATCGGCCGGAGCATAAACCCATGCCATGGTGAAGAGATAGAGATTGAGCAGGGCGTAAAATGCAAGGAATTCAGCCGAACTCCCATACGTAGTGTTTAACTGGCTCACGAATTGGTCTTCAAGGACTCCAACTCCAAAGCGAAGAATAGTGATACTGATGGAAATACTCAGGACCACCAGCATCAGGAGGGTTGTGAACTTCAGCCTTGCATCTGAGTAAGTGAAGATTAGGGACTCGTTAGTGTAGTTCTCTTATAAGTGGGAAGGAAGAAGATTATTATGCAGGAGAGACTTGCCGAAGAAGGGCATGGAATGGAGCTCGGAGTATGTCGTAACTAGCAAGTAGAGGAGGTAAACGACATAGACGCTAGCCGCCGTGAAGAAAAACACCTTGAAGCCCTTCAGTCGATAAGAGAGTGATTACTTTGAGATGGGTGGAGGTCGTCGTCGACTGGCTGGGTATTTGAATAATGGCTGACCTGGAAATGAGTAGGGTCCACCTGATAGCTGTAGGTGGGGTCCCGGAGCTGGTTGGTGGTCAACCAGATGGACATGGCCGTTGCCGAGGTCCACAGGCATCCCACAATTATCAGCTTGGGCAGGTAGAACGTCCAGAAGTTCCTCTCGTTCTGACCGTAGCATTCCACAGTGTGTGATTGATCGGTATACAATGGGGAGATTGTGGTCACGTAAATGAAGTTTATCTTTAACCTGTCGTAGTCCGTGGTAGACGCAGAGCCAGAAGAGCAGGAGGGCAGAAAGGAATGTGGCCTGGAAAGTGGCGTCAAGGATGCTCGGGATGGCCGAATGGAACAAAAACACCAGAGAGAACGTTGGGTCTGGAATCAATTCAAAAAGAGTATCGTTAGATTGAAGAATATTCCCACTGTTACACTGAAGAGTATTAGGATTTAAATGTGTCCATAGAGAGTCAATCTATGGACAACGTTTCCCCAATTAGACTAGCCAGCTACTTCTGTTATATTTCATCAGGTCATTTCTACACTCTGGAATATCATGTTTGATCCGATGTTAAAGTATTTCACCGGCAATAAATTATTTTTTATTATATAAATAAATTTGTTTATCTCTAAACTGCTAATTCTCATGGAAGTAGCAACCTGGCTTCATTCGGAAAAATGTCGCCCATGGAGTTCATTTTATGGACTCCTTGAATGTGGATACCATTATAGAGGAAAAGCAAGGGAAGGAGTAAGGCCATCCATTTCTGCTCCAGGGCCCAGTCTTGGAAGTAGAACCGACGCATCTTGTGCACGAACCAGCACTGCACACAACCCAACGGTTCCCACAGTTATCAAGCTGTGAATCGAAAGGGATGAAAACACCGAAGAGTCGGTGGACAGGCTCACTGCGAAGAGGAAAGCAAGGACGAGGAAGACGAGACGAAACCAGAGTTCCAGCTGGGAAAACGACGGATTGTAACATTTGAACTGCAAAGAGGAAAAGATCTTGTCTATGTCAAATGATCTCAAAAGATTGGGCTGCAACGGAATAGGGAGCAGACGGACGTAGAAGATGACGTTGGAGACGGAATGATGCTGAAGGCCGTAGAATCTGATGTTGAGGACATAGGAAGGGAAGCTGAGGAACCCCAGATGGGCCACGTTCACCTCTTCGCACTCCCCGTTGGCGCAACGCAACTCGTGGCTCCTACAGAGACTTCAGCACCTTCATCATCCGTCGAAAGAGGGAGGAAGGGGTTTACTCGATGACTCACCTGTTGTGGGCCGTGTCGGGTCGAAGGACCCGAGATGTGTGATCCGAGGTCACGCCCTCGATCCCCACACTCACCTGGAACTTCGTCGTGAAGCTCTCTCCTTCAACGAACGATAAGAAAAAATCGTTGCAATGGATGGGGAATGGCGGGAAACGTTAATGTTTGCACGGAGGAAGAGTGAATGGAGACCGGGTCGATCTTGAATCACGATTTTGGCGATGACCCAGAGTTGTCGAGCGTAAGTTGAGAACTTCGGGCTCCGGATGAGAAATGGTCCTGTGCTCACATCCGACACGTTCGGCTTCAATTCCCAAGCTTCTCGCTTCTCCGTGATCGTGATCTCTGGCCCTATCGATAAATAGGCAATGGTATTGTTAAAGGAACGGATTGGATTCGAATGCGTAAAAATGAAAGTAAACTTCATCCCGAGAAGCGATAGGATTCAAAACCGGCGACAGGGTTGCCAGATCCCTCGACCTCGTATCGCAATGGATATTTTGTTTTGTGCATTCAAGGAGTGGGGGAATTTCCTGCTCGATGGGAGCATAGGGAATATTCGGAGGGAGAGAAGGTGGAAAAAGGCTTACCGGAAAGGCCGATGAGAAGGGCGACGGCAAGAAGTGCGAAAAAGGCGAGGAAGACGAGAAGGAATTCCCTCTTAGACATAGAATAGAGTCTCATCTGTACGCTTCGTTCGCAGCGGTCGTGGTGATACGCAGGGGATATGTATTTCGTGAATTCCGAGAACATCCCCTTCACTTCCGAGATCCCGTTCCGCAACTTCATCCCGAACGTGTCCACCGTGAAACCGAGCTCCGATGCCATACCGAAGACCTCCCTCGATAAGGACGATGACGTATCGGAGCGATGGACTTATTCCGGGATCACGGAGAAGGGAAGGTGGAGCGAGTCGCCATGTTCAGTGGGAACGGAGTCCGCGACTGGAAGATGGATCCTCATCGATTTCCTCCGCTGTCGCACGCTATTCTCCCTCCATGCCGTCTCCCTCTTCGCATCCCTCATTCGTTGGAAAGCCAACCGGGATCTCGCAGAACTCTTGGATGCGATGGAAAAATTCTCTCCATCCCTCCTTCGCATGCGGTGCTAAAATTCAGTGCTTGGTTCCCTTGCTTCCTAATCCCTGCTTCCGTCTCCATTTTCGTGACAAAAGTCAACTTCTCCAGCCAATTTTAGGTTTAAAGAAGGGGGTTGCGGCTGTGAGTGCTTTATTTTCGATGAAGATATGGATGGATGAGAAGACGGTCGCGCACGTCCCGGCATTTTATGTTGGGCGATACTTGAATGTGTATTTTTTCGTTAAAATAAAAAATATAGAAGATAAGAAGAGTGCAGTGATACGATCGAATGAAGGCAGTGACTGCCAGCACATAGACGTGATCTGCAGTTTTTCCATTGAACTGTGCTTCGAATTTGCCCCATTTTCAAGGGAACAATGGAAATATCGTTAATCAAACTTAAAAGTCTAAATGCTGCTGAACACTGTTGCCATATCATCGAGGAGGGGGAAGTTATTCCTATCCGTATCGGCCAACTCGTAATTATTTCAAGTGAGTCAGGACAACGATAATCTTCCAAGTCTCATCACCAAATGTATAGAATCACACGTGAAAAAAAGGGCTGTCGATGCGATTGCATCTAATCGATCGATAAATCAATTTAAGCTGTAAAAGAGAATATAAAAAAAATTCTCGAAATTGAGATGGATTGAACGGAACCCGACGATATTTGATCGTGCTGCATTTCCTTTGGAGACGATTGTTTCTCTTCGCCGTCGACGCCACTCACACAGATCGGCCGTCGGCTTGGACGGAGTGGTGCCGTGAATATCGTTCTCGACCTTTTTTTTGGTTAGAGACAAAGTTCCTGGAGCGCGTGTCCAATCGATCTCATGTTCCACTTTCTTGCAACGCAGGCGGCAAGAGGCCCCACGTTCGGTGTGCGATACAGAAGCCTTGCAGGCTTGCGAATTTTTTCACATCGGGGGCGTCTTTTTCTCCAGTCATTCGTAGCTGCTGGCAAAATCGACACCTCTTTCCCTCAGAACTCGACGCACTCGCGTCATTAAATGACGTCACTCTCAAGCAAGCAGCTGCCAGTGGAACAGCGAATTTCGTGAGCGCTGAACGCGAATGTGACGTCATGGGGTGCTGGAAGCGTCAGCAGAGCTAGCAGAACTGCTTAGAAAAAAGACGCACCCATTTGTTTTGTGGTGACGTCAGGGGCATCGTTGGCCAAGCCAGGAGTGCTAGCCAACGGCCCAGCACCAGCTCACCGTTACTAGAATGGCTTCATCCGGTGCAGTAGAACGCAGCCAAGGGTCTTGCAAGACTAGGGCAACATTCGTAAATGGCACGAATCACAGAGGTTAATGTCCCAGCAAGTTCCAAGTTTATATTCTAAAATTGTCCCGTCATCACCCGGATTGGACGGAACGAAGTTCGAATAAACTCTGCAACATCTCACATCGGGAAGGTGGTCCCTACCTCAGAAACTGGTCATATGCAAACCGCGTTCTTACACTTCCTTCATTCTTTACACTCCCTTATTGTAGAAGCCGATATACTGGTGTACCTCTGCATCACCTTTCAAGCCCATATTGTCTTGGATTTAAAATCCAAGATTTCCGAACTTGCGAAGCCTACTGCGACCGAATACGAATGTTCCGCCCATCCCTAGTGCGACCGATTGCAACGAACTGCGACAGTTGCAGCGGTCGCAACGCAGCTCTTCGCTGTCGGCAGGCTGTCGGGGTTCATGAGCCCTTACGCGGTCAAGTCTCTCACCATTCGCATTTAAGCCTTCGCCCCTTTAGTTCAACACTCCGAAGTTGTCTTCGAGGCTGACCGTTGATAGTTTCGGCGAGATGGTGTCTCCTTGCCTGAACTCCATATCTAATTTATTCTCTCTGTGCGATCTCGGAGTGGTATTCCCTATCTTATATATTTTCTGAATGATTTTCGCACAGCTTTTCTACGGCGTAAGTCGCTCCAGGATGATCGGCTGAACCACTGAAACAAGAATACTTGCCAGAGACAGCTACAGTTCGTTTCAGTCACTTATTTTAGGCCAGGGTTTGCACAACTCGAAAGGCTGTGAGGGCCATTGGCGATTTTTACTCACCTACCGCGGGCCGCAGCTGGCTGACCATAGCTGTGGTCAACAGGGCAGGAGCCATAGTAGCAACGCCACCAGTCATGACGGGCCGCGGACAAGGGCCTCGCGGGCTGTATGTTGTACACCTCTGTTTTAGGCTATTCCTTTGGATGGAGGATTGCGGATATCGGCGGCATCCGGCCGAAGAAGTGCGAATGAAAATGAGGGGAGGGAAGACGAAAATACTTGGGACGCTCTGGATTCGTCCCGGGCCCCATTGATATCCAATGAACACGATACTTTTTGGTGGATATTTTTTTTGGCACTTTGAATGTGTTCATGCGATTTATAAGGTCACCTGACACCTCACTCATCCCGTGCATGAATTTCTGGCCATCGGTCACCCGCTCACAATATACCTTTCGCAACTCGCTGACTGACTATATGAAAGACAGGAAGGGGAAAAAAAAAACATGTTGGATCGGAGACAGGAAGTGGGTAAGGAGATGGAGGGAAGATCAATAATTTTTTTTTTTCTCTTCTGTTTCAGTCTTTGGCTCGATTTCATCAGGTGCATGCTGCGAAAGTGAACTGTTATAATACTCCCTTCATTTCCAAACGTACTTTGGTTAATCCCCCTCTCTATATTCCTGTCTTTTTCTGTGGTATGCAGGCTCAATTATTTTTTCATTTTAACTTGTCGTGGGGCATTTTGCCCCTTTAATTAATGTGAATCCAAAGGGAATGTTTTTTACATGGACGTTGCTTCTAGGACTGCCGGGATGTTTCGGCAACCGCCGGTAAGGCAGCATCGGCAGTGTTTGCTATCAACCGGTGCCGATGTCCAAAGACGACCGTGTAGAAGGAAGAAAAAGAGAAAGAGAATTACGTGAACGGGCTTGGCAACTGATTCTCAACGGAAAGAAGCAAAAAATAGGGTTGTCCTGATGCATCCATCGATGAGTGGATGTCATCTTCGATAGTTAGAGGTATGGTAGGTTTCATTACTCCTTACCTTCCCCATGCACCCCCTGACCACAAGTGTGAGATCATGGAAGACGGATAGTGGTCCGCGCCTCGATCGAGGCAAGAAACGATGGAAGTCAAACCTCCGCCAGATCGCGGCGAGAAAAGATTGAATCCTCCGACATCCCCTCCCCTCCCGATGCATTGATACACTATCGATTAGTTCGGGTCGATGCATCGATGTTTTGAAAACTGCTATCGTGACAGCCCTGCCGTGACAGCACATGTTGAGAAAAATGTAAATATATGCATTTTTATGCGTTTTAAAAATGGCAGAAATCGCTTCCCCTTTTTCCAGCGAAAAAGCCAAGAATATGCCAATAGAGGGAAACGAACGGGGCTATAATTTCCTGAACTTCTCGGGAGAGATGGAGGTGGTGGATGGATTCAGAGCAAAGTTAGGGGGCTTCACCGCCCAAACCCCGTCACCACTATGCCATTGGTCACAGCACGTAACCGCTGTAAAATTTTCATCGGTAGCTCATAAAGAAAACACAATTTCTTGGAAAGACCTTATTTTCCCATAAAAATGGGCGAAATATGCATAAATATGCACACATAAATGTAAATATGCACCTGGTGAGAAAAACGTAAAAATTTGCATTTTTTTGCACTTTTAAAATGGCCGATATCGCTTCCTATACCAATAAGACACGATCTTACCTGGGTTACATGTTCCTGGGAGGCTGCAGAAAAAATATGCCTTTGCATAAAAATCTGCTCCCTTATTATAACTAGGACTGTACCGATGCATCAGCTACCACCGGTATCGTCCGCCGATGTTGCACTATCGGTGCCCTCGGCCATTGGCAGGTTTACTAGCTGCCGATGCTGATGCCCAAAGGAGAGGCAAAACTTACAACAACAAAAATTACAGTGAGCGTGTGAATGCGGCAATGCGCTGGCCCTCCTGTCTCACTGAAAGCCACTTCTCTCCCAGACAAAAAATATCGATCGGATTACATCTCTGCTTATTCTAGGAACTGACGGAGGAAAATATTGGTAAAGAAAGGGAAATCATTGCACCTCCTTTTATGTCATGCTTTTGCGAGAGATGTGTCGTTAAACACTCATAACAGCAGCAATAGGTAACAAGCTGACCACTGACGGATACTCCATCGGACGGTCCATCGGTATAGCCCTAAACTAGCAGTGTCCGTTTGAGTCACCATCTTCAGTAAAGGAAAACTTGTTGAAGTCTCATGTACATGATTAAGAGACAGAAACAAACAATATGCAGAAAAAAGCTGCGACGACATTCGTACTTGTTTGGAACGCACTCAACAAGGTGGGACCAACAAGTACTATTTGAAACTTCGCCGAAAATTTTGCAAATGTGGCGTCAGAAAACAGAATGTGGTTCGCGAGGTCATTTGCTTTTGGTGGAAGGCTGTAATATGATGGCATGGATTGGCAGTGTCTTCCTCTTCTCCCTGAAGTCATGCAGTCATACGCTGAGTATGGGATTCATACAGACACAGGAAGAAAAGTCCATGTTACTTCTGTTACTTCTCCACGGGTACGTGTTAACTTTGGAGAAGATGCTGCTGTTATCACGGCATAGTTAATAGAACATTCTAATAGAGTGCAGGCGACGAAGAGGGATTCCTCGACTAGAGCCTACCTCCCTCCCAAACTGGGAAACTGTCGGAACTGAGTGCATCAGGATCAACCACACTCCCCACACGAATTCGGAGTTTGGCATCGCCGCTTCTCATCTATAATTAGTCCTTCCCATCCCCAATATTTGGACCTTAAGATCTTTCAGCCTTCCGCCGCAAGGAATAGGCCAAA